TTTTCTTTATTTTGTTTGTTGTAATTACCATTACAGTTTGTCACGCAACATTTTTTAGGCATTTTTTTGTCTGAAAACTAGATACCAATTGTACTATATTAAAAAAACTTTGTTGTCGCTAGCAGTTATCGAAGATAGTTTTGAAGTTCAATGGCCCCTGGGTTATAACTCATGTAATTCATATAACTAAGAGGTCTGGGTTATAACTCGTGTCAGTCTTAGTCTTAAGAGTAATTTAAACTTTAAACGTCAACTGATGTTTAAAATAATTTTAGCTGGAAAGTTTTTTTATAGACGACGATTTTAGGACATGCCGAAGACGTATTTTTAACTGCATGAATAGGATCCAAGACTTGCTAAAGACGTCTGTAGGACGTGCTTTAGACGTCCTTTAAGGTCGTCCGTAGGACGTCCCTTTAAGTTCCCGTTGGACGGACGAAAAGCGCTTCATTTGGTACGTCTGGAGGACGTCTTTACGTCGTCCCGCGAGACGTCCCAAGGACGAAAATGGACCTATTGCGGACGTCCTACGGACGTCGTTTTGCCCACTGGGATGCGCTTTTTCAATTTTAACATTATGAACCCCTAGGTAATCGTTAAATATTTTTTTAACTTTTAGTTCACAATCATTCCAGCTTTCGTTGTCGTTTTCGGGGACACCATGAATCCTAAGGTTGTTCCACCTCGATCGATCTTCAATCTCTCTTAGTTTGTTGTTTATTTGATTTGATATTCGATACCTTTTATAATTGTATCAATTTCATCAACTTCCTTCATAATAAATGCTATTTTGTTTGAGTTTTCTAAAATGTTACGTTCAACTTTATCCAAATTATCGTTTATTATTTTAGTGTTTGAATTAACGATGTTAACAAAAGTATTTTCCTGGTGTTTCAGCATTTTTTTAGTCTCAGTTTTGAACTTCTTGAACATTTCCTTGATCAACTTTTTGACTTCCTCAATCATAACAGACTTTTTCAGATATATATACTTTTTTTTTTTTTTTTTTTTTCGTTAAAATGAAAAAAAAAAACACAAAAAAAACTAATAAACGATTTTTTTTTAATTAGAAGCTGTTATAATGCGTCTGATTGCTTCAAAATCCAAACGTTTTGTTTTTTTATACTATTTATTTACTTACTTAATTTTTATACTATTCTTAACTAAATTTATATTTATCGACAAACTTTAAAATTTACACAAAAATCTTTTAGCGTTCAAAAACTATGACCATTGCAAGGCATCCTTAATTGATATAAGTATAAACATATACATTTTTGAAGTTTGTTATATGTCTGGAAGTTAGGTATCTCAAACATCAAAAAATGCTGCATCCGTGCATGTACAATGTTAAGCATAATTTGTTACAATATTTGAGTAATGAAGATCGAAAAATAAATAAAATAAGAAAAATAAATAAAATAAGAAGCATTTTTGCGTTATATTTGTATTCTGTTTAAAAAAAATGGGTAATATGTTGGAAATTTGAAAATCATGTTTATAATTATTTTCTGAAAATACTAGTTGTTTTTATAATTTTTTTGTTTGTAAAAAAAGAGTTCTTTACCAGTATTTTTGTTGATTGACCTTCTGTTCTAATATTTGTTTGATACAACAAAAGTACTTTTTCTTTTCTCATTGTTGATTTATTGATTAAAATTTAATAAGGAATATTTAATATCTCTAAATGTAGTAATCTTGAGAAATAAATTGAAATTTGTAACAAAAACAACATTACAAACATAAAAAAAAAATGGATAATTGAACTAATTTTATAGTCCCCTCACTGCAATCATTTACTACCTCAAGATTATTTACAAACTGTTTAAATTTTAGGTAATTTTTATTTAGGTCCCTTGTCTGCTGGATTCTTAGGGATCTTAGGGATAAATTACGTAACGCAAAGTTTTACAAAAAACAAAACAAAAAAAGATCAAAAGTTTTCCCTCGCAGAGTCTTAATTTAAATAAATAATCAAAATAGGAAATTAAGTTAAAATGAAAATCGCCGCGTAAAAGAGCCTAATATTTCCTACTCTTGTTCTTAAAATATTTTTTGCGTTGCGTAATTTATGGACGATCCCTTAAGCCATATTTTTCTGCATTTGCATGTTTAACATATGAAAAATTCTCGTGAATAAATGTAGTCAGAATTGTTATTATTAAAAATAAGGAAGTTCAGTAAACTAAAACTTCTTTCAATGGTATAATTTGTAAGCATTAGAGTTTAGTACAGCTTTTTCGCAATATTACTCCGTTTTTGTACATTTTTGTCAACTTGAGACATCACTACAATATTTAGATCTAAGTACCATGTGTGTCTCTTTAGAGATTTAATAACAGGTTTTGCCTAGTCAGATAGAGTTTTTGAATACCTTCTGCCGAGAAGTCTTAATATTCTAAAATATTTTAGCCTGAAATAACCTAAAAATATTTTGTGCAAACCAAAAAATAATAAAAAGTTAAACCAAACTTTTAAAACTTGCAAAACGTAAAAATGGCGCCAGATATGAAACAATTACAAGGATTCTAGCCCTTATAAACTATTCAGTGTAAAATATAGCTGTAAAAAAGTCTCATATCCTATTTTTGTTTCTCAAAATAGCAGCCGTGGCGCAGTGGTAGCGCACTTGCCTCATAAACGTAAGATCCGTGGTTCAAACTCCACCTCTGGCAAGTTTTGCGACATCGGTTGGGAAGGAGGCGTGAACTTCCTATTAAATGCTCTTCCGTGGTGCTCTGTGATAAGACCGTAAGGACTTCTTGGGGCACCTAAAATCAATATTAAAAAAAAAAAAAAATCAGTCAGGCTGGAAATGCTGCCTAAATGAAGATAAACTTTCAGAAAGTATATAGCCTTTGCCGTAAATCTAGCATGATGTACATAAACAGGCTTCCTTAGTCTGTACTCTGCATCACCAAATAATTGTGTTAAAGAGTTAAGAATAATATAAATAAAAATTTGATTTATCAACTCTGCTAACTCCAGATAATCAGATTTGCACTTAACACAATTCAAGTAAAAACAGACAGTTAAGAATTTTTTTTTTTACAGAGTATTCAGTATGCTCAGTATTTTAATAGAATCTCAATTGTTTTTGTCTTTATAATGTTTTGAGTAATCCAATAAAGATTAACTCAAAACATTAAGGTAACCCTTAATGTTTTGAGTAAAACAATAAGGGTTTTTAAAACTGTTCTTGCAGCCAGCTATCAAAAATGTTTTAAGTTTAAACTTTTAACACAGAACTTATTAATCAGTTCCATTTTTTATTAAACAAAGGATTATTCGGACAATATGCTTTACTGCTCTGATAAATGAACAATATGTCTTTCATATATGTAATGTCTGCATGCTAGGAGAAGTAGAGACTTGTTAAGGTATGTGGCTTACCTGATTCATGCACCTTTTAGTTACCACCATTTACTGAAGTTGTATCAAAAATGCACTCGTTCAATATATCAGAAATAAAATTGTATTTTTTGTGTTTCTCTAGTACAAGAGTTAAGATGAGGAAACTTAATTTATCCACCAATCCTGATAAAAGCAACAAGTCTGTCAAGTTAACAGCTTATTTTTTTGTATTTGCTTCATAGCCAGAATGATTTTCACTACTTATAAAAAGGTTATAAAAGTAGTTCAGGTAAACGTTTTTGTGTTATAATGTTGTGTATGTATGATGTTATAATGTAATGTTTTTTGTGTTATAACGTTGTAATGTTGTTTTTGTTGCAACTTTTAATGTATTATTTACAATATAGATATTTCACGAGCTTACTACATTTTAATATATTAAATGTTTCTTTATAAGTTTTGAACAATAAATCACACAATCTATAAAACAAATATAAAAGCGGAAGGTCAATAAAAAAAAAACTATGTATATATATATATATATATATATATATATATATATATATATATATATATATATATATATATATGTATATATATATGTATATATATATATATATATACTTCATAGACTCTGTTATACCAAAAATGAAAGAAACGATAGTTAAAATAACATTTATCCACCACTAGACATTAATCATGCTTGATTTGCTTGTTTGTCGTAACGGGTTGGTCATTGTTTCGACGTTAATTCATATACATTGAATTAAAGTTGGGTTATATACGTTATATCAATATTGATCCCTATACATTGAATCGATGTTGAATTATACACATAGGATCAACATTTGGTTTATATGGTAAAAACAAGTAACTTTTGCGACGTTTTTACTTACGTTGGACCAACGTTACTGTGCAAGCTGTTTTTAATGCGTTGTTATTAATTTTTTTATTGCTTGCTATCAAAACTTGACATTAAATCAACGTCAGATAAGTATCAGGAAAAAAAAACGTTCGCGATGGTTTCACATACGTTGGTCCAATGTGTGCGTCTAGCACTCAGTATATATTAATAGTTAAGTACCGCGATTTTAAACAATTTTTGGCTTCTTACTCAAAACTTTTTGAAAAAAGGGCGCCACTTGTTAACAATAGGTAATTACAAGTCAGAAGCCCCAGACTAAAAAAAGTGCACTGGGCCCTTTTTTGTGTTATTACTGGGCGTAAAAAAAAAATAAACTTCTCAGATTTTGGGCTCCTAAAACTCTTTACCGCTTAGGGCCTGGGTAATTAACAATCTAATAATTTAAAAAATTTCAAGCTACTGATTTTTTTATTCAAAAGTAGAACCCTTAAACATACTGTCGCCATATTCATTATTTATTGTAGTAGCGACTAACACGAAATATGTATTAAGTCATAATTAAAACAGCGTTTGCAACAAAAATTTTGCGATACGAACTATTCGTTTACACGTGAAAAATTCGTCTTCGTTTTTCGCGCGAAAAATTCGTCGAGGGAGCTGCGAAAAGGCGGCTACCGCGACAAAAAGCAGAAAGCTGCAAAATAAATTTTGACTTTTAATAGTGATCAATAATTAGTTGAACTACTTTTAAAAATAAACAATCGCATAAATAACTCACGGAAAAACTAGGTTGTTATTGTTGATGGTCTGTATTACAACATTTAAATAAAATATTCAACTTGAATTGCGAGAAATTAATAAGTCAAACACGAGGTGATCTAAGTGCGGTGCGTATGACTTAACATATTCAATATGACTTACAGTTATATTCCAAGAAAACATCGATGGTAGCAATTTTCGTATTTCAGACATGCAGTAGTGCAAATGAGTACACCATGAAGTTCTTTTAGAGTTATTAACATGACCATTATACTTTAAATAAACAAGGCATACATTGGAACAAGAGCAAATGGAAGTATCATCTTTACATGTAACATTTTCATGCACATGAAGTACTCCGCCAGAATCAATTTTTAATGCGTCGCAAGCAGCCTTCCACGACATTTGAGATGTTGGTATTAATCCAAGATTTACACGATCCGCTACATTTCGAGGTGCATTCTTTGAAGATATGAAAACAAACATGTATATTTTTATTAATATATCTGTCTATACATACATACATACATACATACATACATACATATATATATATATATACATGTATAAATATACTCATTGTATATATATATATATATATATATATATATATATATATATATATATATATATATATATATATATATATATATATATATATATATATATATATATATATATATGTATATATATATATATATATATATTTCCACACATATATATTTCCTAACTGATAGTACATTATATTATTGAGTGGCATATATATAACCGATTTTACAATATTATAGAGTGAGACCTATATCTGATTATACAATATAAGAGTGAAGCATATATTACTTACGCATGATGATTTGCATAAGTATCTAATCCAGAAACTTAAGCATGATGATTTGCATAAGTGTCTGGGTTAGGGGTCGCTTTTAGAAGGAGAGGTTAATGATTTTGTCACGACTCGTATGGGATTTGTTATTAAAGAGTTACAATATTGTGACGGTTAAATCTCAAAAAATAACCATTTTAAGAACCATAACACTTAAAGTAACATTTAAATTCTCTTATCATTTAAAAATACTCGACATATTAGTAGCTTGCTTTTTATATTACAGCAGCGGTTTCCAACTTGTGGGTCAGGACTCCAACGGGGGTCATCTGGCAATTTCCCAGGGGTCCCCATTGTTTACGCTAGGCAGCAGTTCCTTTTTACCATCTAAAATTTAAGCGATACTCCTACTTTGACTACAGTTTTTACACCGAAGCAACGTACAAAACTATGATTCATTCAACAGATGTCAGGAGCCTATTTAATTATTTTAGACAATTTAATTCTTCCAACTTAAACTCTTTTTACAATACTACCTACGTTCTTAGTAAAGAAAATGAAATCATACTCTGATGGCGACAAAAAAACGTTTTTAGCCATTAGTAAAATAATTCAAGCACCTGCTTCATACTCTCAATTATAAAAGCTATTTAAACGAAAAGTTTTATAATTTTTATTTTGATGAAAATTGTGTACCCCTGATAATAAATCAGCAAAAGACGGAAGGAAAAAATATAATGATAAATTTTTAAAGTATGGCTTTACTTTCATAGTTGCATCTGGAAATGAAAAGCCACAATATGTTATTTGCAAACAAATTATGTTAGTCGAATTCATGAAGCCCAACAAACTGAAACGCAATTTTCATACTTAAACATCCTATGTATGCAGGAAATATTTTACGAACAAAGCTACGGTGTCAAAAAAAGCAGATTTAATTCTGGTGGCCAGTACCGACAACAAAGTGTAGCAGCCATTGAAGCTTCATTTTCGATGCCTCTTAAAACCGGCAGAGTCAAAAAACCTCACAGCATTTTCAAAAACTTGCAGTTGTCATTAACCAAATAATTAAATACAATATCCTTATCTAATAATATCGTCACAAGAAGAATACAAGAAGACATTACTGCTGATATTCTTAAGCAGGTAACCCAGGAGATGAAATCTATTCCCTTAGGAATATTTAGCATTAAACTTGACGAATTAACAGATGCTCTCAGTTTCTGGTTTACACGTGAGGTATATTGATAAAGGAGAAATCAATGTGTTTCTTTTTGCAAATCTCTTGAAACTATAACTACTGCATAACGATGTATTTGATACAGTTGATACTTTTTAAAAAAAATCACGACATCCCCGTAGTGAAAATGTTTGTGTTGTTTGCGCAGACAAAACTCCGGCAATTTTGAATGTATTTCTGGATTTTAACGTTTGGTAATAAATGCATCATCATAAGTCATTGGAACTCACTGTTTGATATATCGACAACAAAGCCATTTGTCACACAAACTTAAACAAGTAATGTAAAAAATTGTTAGCGCGAGAAAAAAAAAAAAATTGGTGCTTCAAGCAGCCGCCAGTTTTCAAAACTTTGCAGTAGGTTGGATGCATCTAATTTTGTGTTGTTTCACATTGTTATGAGGTTGTTGTCCATAGCAAAAACTTGTTTACAATCTTTGCGATGAATTAAAAACTATTTTTAAATCAAAAACCTAAACCTGAGTCATCCTAAAATTGAGTCATTGCAAAAACAAAAAAAAAATCAATCAAAAATCGCCAAACAATATTTCAAACATTTTGAAGCATTGTTTGGTGAAAAAATCCAACATCACAAAATAGATTATTTGGTTCACATCTTTGCAATCTTTAACGAATTGAATTTATCGTTCTAAATACAACATGCCTAGATTCGTCAGAAAAGATCCAAGCATTCGAATTCAACTTTAGCAAACAAAAGCGAATGAAAATAAATTTTTACATGCTAATTTATCTTCTTTCTTTGAGGAAAATGACGTTGAATATGAAACGAGGAAAAACATGAGGAGAACACCTTGAAGTATTCGGAGAAAAAATTTTAAGATTTTTTCCAAATTTACTTGACACACATTTGCACTTGCTAGAAGTCCACTTACCATCAAATTTAAAGATATTTCCGAAAAAACATTTTCATACCTTTGTGGAACAAGCTTTTCAGGTTTGTTGTGCATGTATTTTGTACATTAAATAAAATATATATAAAATTAGATATTTAGAAATCAAAAAACATAATAGCTGTAAAAATGCAGCGATTCAGAAGCAATCTTATCTTATTGTTGGGGTCGCCACAACTTGGTAAATGTTATTAGGGGTCGCATAGGGTTCTATTGGAATCTGCTTTATTGTTGTATTAAATTTAAAATTTTTATTCAAGTGTCACATGCTGTTGAATAATCTAGAAACATTTTGAAATATAATACAAAGAAATAATAGAAACATTTGAAGTATAACACAGTAACAAAGATATAAAACTCTAATAACAATATAAAAAAGAACGAGTTTACCTTTCGGTTATCTCCTTCAATTACTATGCATCGATCATTAACTCCATTTATTTCAAGATTTCGCTTTAAAGCTATTATTGCATTTGGATTCCACTCACAAGCATACACAGTATGCGCACGAGCTTTAACCAAATATGGCAATGTAAAGTAGCCAATACCTTAAATTATACATATACCAATATACATATTGTGATTCAGAATTAATAATGGAATTTCCCTGATATCTTCTGACATAACTTATACACACAAAAGATAACATTTATAAACAAAGAAATATATAAAAATATAAGATTTCATTAACATTATACAAAAAAAGATTTCATAAACAGATAATATTACACAAAAAAAACAACAAATTTATAAACATTGATAACATTATTATTTAGCAAAACTAGTTTGTATAGCAGCAATGAAGCAGCCACGGAAAATGATGTGCTATGGTAACTGTTTTAGATACCGGTCTAAACTAGTTTTGAACTTTTTCACGGAGGTAATATTTACTACATTGTCTGGCAAAGCATTCTATGTGTTCGCTACACGGTTGTTAAAAAAGTTATAACGGACTTGATAGTTTTTGTTGATTACACAATGGTACTGAATGCGAAATCCATAGCTGGCGGAATGTTAATTGGATTAATAAACCAGTTAACTAACTCGATTTTAATCTCTAATTTAAATTTTTGAATAAAGTCCAATCGTTTTCTTTGTTCGCATAGAGAAGTGAGACCAAGTTTGATGCATCTTGATTTATAATCAAAAGGCTTTATTTCTTGCGGTACTTTTGTAACACGCCGTTGAAAGCTTTCAATAACAGAAATGTCCTTTTCTTAATAAGGACACCGAGCGGAAATGGAATATTCTAGAAATGGACGTATACAAGTTGCATATAGCTTTTTCCAGTTGTGCATCTCTGCTTATGAAGCTGTGTTTTAGGATACCAAGCTTTTTGTTAGCCTTGGCTGCAGCAATAGATGTTTGGAAATTTTGCTTTAGGTCATTGGAAATTAAAACACCAAGATTTCTTTCTGATGAGGTTGATTCAAGTTGAATTCTGTTAAGATTGTTGTTTGAGTCACGGTCGTTAATAAAGTATTGGTGTGGAACGAATTTAGATTAGTTAAAATGCAATATTTAACATTTCCTAATATTTATTTACATAAACCATTCTTGAACCCAATTAACAATGTTGTCAATGTCAGCTTGCAGACTAAGTTTTTGTTCTTCAGTGCTGACCACACTAAGGATTTTGTGTCATCTGCATACATTTTGCATATATTTTTGTTACTAATTTGTTCTGGTAAACCATTAATGAAGATAGTAAAAAGCGTTCGACCAAGAACTGAGCCTTAAGGAACGCCACTAGTAACTTTTTCCCATTCTGATGTTATATTTCCAAATTGGACACGTTGAGTACGATTTGAAAGACGCTTTAATCCAATTTAAAATTTTACCTTCAATTCCATAGGATTTCAGCTTTTGTAGCAGTCTAGTGAGAGGAACTTTGTCAAATGCCTTAGCGAAATTTAGAAAGACAATGTCAACAGGAAGTTTACGTGATATATTGCAGGTCAAAAAATCCATAGTCTCAAGTAAATTAGAAACACAAGATTTTTTGTTTATGAAACCATGCTGACAATTTGATATAAGATTTTGAGACTGTAGATGCTGCATTATCTTATTTTTAACTATTTTCACGATTACTTTGCATTACAAACAAAAAAACAACACTTTTGTCAAGTAAAAAAGAAATTATAAACATTTTAAACAGTCAATTTAAATTTTGCTTTAGAATTGGCAATAATCAATTTCTTTCAATTTTTGATTAGGGATCGTCCACAAATTACGCAACGCTAAGCTTATTTTAAAAATATAAGTAGAAGAGCATTTTGCTCTTTTGAGCGGCGACTTGAAGGGTTATTTATACATGGATTAATTAAAGACTCTGCGAAGGAAAACTTTTAACACTTTTTCTTTTGTCTATTAGTTAAATTTCGCGTTACGTAATTTATGGACGATCCCTTACCACACTTCATACATGTTAAGTCATATAACTTTTGTTTTTAAAAAAGTTAAAAAAGATTTTAACTTATTAAAAATGTAAACAAAACAGCAAGAGCAAAAAAATATATTTTGTCAATAAATGGGCAGTAAACTGGACATACTGGACTACTAACAATGATAAATCTAAAGTTGCTTTACCCTAATCAAGCAGATGGGACACATGAATGTCCCATCTGCTTGATTAGGGTAACACAAATTATCATTCTCAATATTTCTGTAAAAAAATATTTAAAATATGCACTTTCTAGGCTTTCAATAAGGATCATCCGCAAAGGCTCAATTGCTCCATTTACAGAGATGCTAGAATTTTTATTTCAATTGCCTGAGATTAAATAGTTTACAAAACTATATTTAACTATTGCCACATCATATTTAAATATCCATCATCATATTTTACTATTGTCACATCATATTAAAATATATGCAGATGATATTTGCGTTACAAACCAGATTGGTAAAGTGAATTCGAAAATTTTGGATTATGTACTTTCAAATTCTTAACAAATTTTATCCATTGAATAAGCTTTTCCATTTACTAAAAATTAAACTTATTTTACTTCTTTAATGAAAGTTTTTAAAGAAAACAATTCACACCATTGTATAATGGTGTAAAAAAAGTATTACTGGATAGCTAATACCAGTTTCCATTGGAAGAAAGCTCAAGCCAAAAAAACTGTTTACTGCTGTAAGCATTACAATTCAACACATGCTGAAACGGTTAACAACACTTAAAGAGTGTGATCAATTAAAATTTAAGGATGGTCTTATTTCAAGTTCAGTTATTATCAGATATTTTATAAGCCATATGACATTGTTTTTGACACAAAAAAAAAGATAAATTTAATTTTGAAATTAAATTGAAATTCTATAAACTTTTTGAAATTTTAACACAAAATGAAAAGCATATTTTCAAAGCTAAGTTCAAAGTTAAATGCTAATGCTTATTCTGCAAGCATCAGTAAAATTATTAATAATATATATATATATATATATATATATATATATATATATATATATATATATATATATATATATATATATATATATATATATATATATATATATATATATATATATATATATATATATATATATATATATATATATATATATATATATATATATATATTAAACCAGACAGTCTTATATTTCCTTGGTGTGTCCTTCAATTTATATGCTTCAATTAACATTTGTATCAATATGTTTTTGTAAATGTAACAAACATTTGTATCAATTTGTTTTTAAGTTCCTTTTTTCTATTTAAGGATCCAGAGGTGAAATCAGGAGGAGAAATTAGTTAGCATTTAATTTTGAAACTCAAACTATGTTTACAATTAATATTATAATTTAAATTTATACAAATGTTATATTAAGATTTTTATGCGTTTTTTTGTACTTAAATTGTGATTTTTGAGTTAATGTTGAAGAAGTTTAAGTGTAAGGATATTTGTTCAACTGTGATAACTATGAGCAAGAAACCAGTCATTAGAAACATTTTACTGGAAATGAGAATACATCTACTTTTTTAAGTTTTTCAGATTAGTTTTTACTTTTATTTTAAACATTTTATATTCTTTATTCTAAAATTGATATACATATGATTAAAGAATAAATTTTTAGATGATTGACTACTTTAATTAAAAATTTATGAGTATCAATAATACACACTAAAAAAAGGTATAAATTTCTACCTTAAAGTAGGATATGCGATACACCCTTAGTACAGTATAATTTCTACCTTATAGGGTAGAAAACTATACTTTTAGTTTGTACCTTAATTGGTTAAAAATTGTATGACAAATTATTGTTTTTAATATAATTCTCTACCTTAAATAATAGAGAATTATACCTTAATAAGTGTATATTACATATCCTACCCTAAAGTTGAATATGTGATATACGTTTTTTTAGTGTGTATGAAAAAATAGTTAAAAACATTACTTAAATTTTCTACGGATTTTCTTCCTCTAAGCAATAATTAATGGGAAAGGAGAGTTTTTTATATGCCTAAAGTCATTTATGTAAAGTCAAAGCATCCATTTATACAATCAACATCCATTTAAGACTGGTCAGCTTTATTATATTAATTATAAGCCATGAAAATTAAAATTAATACAATTTATGTTTTCAAATTTTTGCTTGTAACAAATTTTGTGTTGCAGTCAAAAGCAGTTTTGAAAAAGTAGGTGTATAGGTGTAGGTAGCAACATCAAAGAAAATATTCTTTAGTTTGCAAGACAAACTACTGTTTAACATATCACATATTAAGACAACAACAGTGGACAAAATCTAAAATTTGGAAGGCTCCTAAAACCAAAAAAATCACCTTATTTGATGACAATTATAAATATGGCTGAACCAGTTAGTTAACGTGTGTAAAACACACACATATTTTACAAATGTATTTTCTAAAATTTAACTTTAAAATGTATAAAATATTTATAAACATTGATAATGGTGTGAATTTCAATTAATTAACAATTAATAAGTTAGTTATAAAATAAAAATATACAAAGTTTTTTTTGAATTTTTTAATAAATCTAATCTTTTATATTATAATTAAAATGAATTAATAATTTAAACTTTTATTTTTAATTCATTAACTTTTTATAATTTTTTTCACTATTTTTGTATTGACAATCTGTATAGAATTTTTTACCATATTAATCTACAGAAGAATTAGTCTTCAATGTAAACTCTTGCAATTCTTAATAGGAACGTATTTAGGCCCCAAATATTTAAAAACATCCATTATCATTAATACTTTGTACCAACAAATTCTACAAACTTTATCCTTTATTTTCAGATTTTAAACATTATTCCAAAGAATTTTGTAGTGTTGTTTTTACCAATGAGTTGGATTTTTCAAACTTAATATGCATCAGTAAAAACTGTTCTTTGCATGCTTTCCATGTAACTCAATTATAACAGTAAAAAATATAAAATAACATTCTTTTGTACATGCAATATCAATACTTTGATTTATAATTTTATTTAATAACAGCCTGATAATTAGAGTGAAATGCTAAATATCAATACATTATTAATTATAGCAGACCTGGATGCAAGTTTAATAAAAAAAATCAATTTCATGGTTTATATGGAAACACATTATTTAAATGCAATATTTATTTAATAGAGTTTTATGCATTATTTTTGTTATATTTTTAGCTTGTTGTATTTAAAAATAATATAATAAATTTATATTATTTAAAAAACATTTTGTAAAAATTTTCTCAACTGACCTGCAAACAAATCAACAACAACTTCATTTTCACAGTTAAACGATGAAATACGCAGTTTTTCTGTAATGTTTCCTTTACTAAACATATTTAGCCTCACATCATAAGCATATTTGATACCATTATCAATATGTTCAACCCAACTGTCATTTCCTAACCGAAGAATGACATTAGGTGTGCGAAAACCATCTCCAATTATTTTTGATTTGATAGCTATTCGTTCTGCATTAAAAACTTTGGCAACTCTTATCCAAAAATCTTGTGGAAAAATTTCCCATATTTTTAAAGAAAATGAGTGATCTGGAAACAAAATTAAATTACCATGAATCTCCCATCGCTTTGGTAAATTTTTTTTTAGCTCATCAAAAGGCAAACCATCAAGTTTGAGACTATATTGGTAGCAAAGTTCTACAAGTTGCTCGCTTGGATTTTTAATTTTAGATTTTAAAAGAGTGTTGCTATCAACAAACTGCATTTGAAGGGAAGAATTATCTTTTAATAAATCATTCATATTTATGAGAGTGCTCTCAAAAGAAAGTGGGATTGCAACCAAATTTTTGATCTGGGTTAAACGAAAGTCTTTGTGCAAAAGATTTTCTTTGTCGCATATGTTTCTAAAAACAGATATAAATCATGTTTCTAAAAATAGATATAAATCAATTGCAAAAATGTACAAACCTAATCATACATGTTTATACATATATAGAATATATATGTAGAATACAATTAAAATTATTTGTATATATACAAATATATATATATATATATATATATATATATATATATATATATATATATATATATAACAATAAATGCATGTTTAGATAAGCCAGGTGATGCCACACTGAAATAGCCTGCTGCTGGGGGCTTCAGTACATACACCAACTATCTTAAAGGTTTGAACTAAAATTACTTAAGTTAAACAGAATTTAAAATTTTGTTTTTACTAGTTTTTTTATTATTTTTAACTTTTGTTAATATTATGCATTAATTTTTATAATATTTACAATTTTATTTGGTATGAAGTTTATTTTATTATTTGGTATTATTTAAATTAAAATTTTTTTATTTGGTATTAATTTTATGTTTATTTTCTTACTAAACTTTAATTTTTTTATTTAATATTTATTTTGTATGAATTAAATTTAAAAATTAACTGCTTTTTAAAACCAGTATTCTAAAATAAAGAAACACAATGCACAAAGATATATTTCAGACTTTAAAATTTGCACCATATCGATTGGATGGTGGAAAAATTTGCACCATATCGATTGGATGGTGGAAAAATTTGCACCATATCGATTGGATGGTGGAAAAATTTGCACCATATCGATTGGATGGTGGAAAAAGTGCATCAAATCAAAATGAGAGTCTAATGACAGAAGGTGATAAAAATAAAGATGAATTTCATATTGATGATAAAGATAACGATTGCATGATTTTATCAAGATAGTTTTGAAAATATCTTTTTTAATTTTATTTGCTTTCAATTATAATGTAGTTACCTGCATTAAAAAAATGGTATCATGATACCAAATAACACTGATTTTACACAGACCTATAATGGAGACTTCCAGCGGTTTTGCGTAATGTGTTTGCAAAAAAAAAAAAAAAAAAAAAAAGAAAGATTTCTTTATAGTAATGTAAAACATTTTATATTCTTTCAATGTTAAAACTAAATTTTTAAAACCATAATCAATGTAAAATTTTTTAATTTAAGGAAAACTTATTTAACTATTTGTTTTTTTTTTTAATCAAAAAATTAAATTTTTTACAAATGCGGTTAATTGTGATTAATTGCAGAAAATCATGTGATTAAAATATTTAATTTAATATTGTTCCATTTAATCATTCGTTTAATCATTCATTTAATCATCCATTTAATCATCCATTTAATCATTCATTTAATCATTCATTTAATCATATATTTAATCATTCATTTAATCATTCATTTAATCATTCATTTAATCATCTATTTAATCATCCATTTAATCATTCATTTAATCATTCATTTATTCATCCATTTAATCATCCATTTAATCATCCATTTAATCATTCATTTAATCATCCATTTAATCATTCATTTAATCATTCATTTAATCATCCATTTAATCATTCATTTAATCATCCATTTAATCATTCATTTAATCATCTATTTAATCATTCATTTAATCATTCATTTAATCATTCATTTATTCATCCATTTAATCATCCATTTAATCATTCATTTAATCATTCATTAAATCATCCATTTAATCATTCATTTAATCATCTATTTAATCATCCATTTAATCATTCATTTAATCATTCATTTATTCATCCATTTAATCATCCATTTAATCATCCATTTAATCATTCATTTAATCATCCATTTAATCATCCATTTAATCATTCATTTAATCATTTATTTAATCATCCATTTAATCATCTATTTAATCATCAATTTTAAACATCCATTTAAATAACAAGTTAAATGAATGTTGCTTGTATAAATGGATGATTAATCAAGCAAACTATTTAAAACTAAGGATTTAGGCTCTTTAAAATTGTTTATAAGAATTCATATCAACTAGCAATAGCATAAATATGGAATCAATCAGATGAATCAATAATCTAGTCAGATTACTTGCTAAAATCTGATTAATTTATTGATATACAGTAAATCAACTTTGAAGATAACCAAGATTAACTCAATGTAAACCTAGTCCTTATTTGAACCATATTAATGGGTCAACTATACTAAATGATAAAATATGTTATAATTTACTTTCTCCATCATGACATAATCTAATTCATTAACAACAAGTAAAGTAATATTTAAAATTTCTAACTTCTTAACTCAAAAAGATTGTTAATAACTAATTTTTGACAAGAACATTTATTTTATCAAATTGTTTTGGATGAATTTTGATGATCCTACACTATATTTTGTTTTGGATAATCCTACACTGTATTTTGTTTTGGATGATCCTACACTATTTTTTGTTTTGGATGATCCTACACTATTTTTTGTTTTGGATGATCCTACACTATTTTTGAAAACTTTTTATACTTTTTGATTTAAATACATTAAGAAAATTTAAATTAGGTTAGGATTACTCTCAAAGATGCGAAGTTTGTATGCTTTTCATATCATTCTACCTACTATGATAGTGATTTTGCTTAAAAAAATGTTTCTTTAAAATTACTAAATCAAAGAGCAAGAAAAATTACTTTTTAGTAGAATAGTTGTTCAATTAATCAAAAATAAAATTAATATGTTTTCATTTTATCGCAGTAGTGCACTTTAAATTATGTTTGTCTAAACTTTACGAGTTTTAGCAGAACCACAATACTGCCACACACAACAACACCTATCAAACTTGGCAGAGTTAGCTGGAATTTGCAAAGATTTACTTTTCATGGGTGCTAAAATATTTAAAAGTTTTCTGTTAACCATTTGTTTCACTAACACTTAGGCATCTTTGAAAAAACCTAAAAAACTCATACTTGTTCTAAACAACAGGCTCAGCTAAACCATGATTTTATTTATTTTTATATAATTATACTTTTATATTTTTAAATTAGAAGTTTTAAACTTTAATTTCATTTCACTATTTTTTTTTTTAGGTCATTATTATAGGTCACAGTTGATAGTAATTTTTTTTATATAAAGATGAAGTATTTTTAATCTTGTATAAATATTTACTTCAAAATGTTAATAACAATCAAACATTTAGTGAGGAAATTTAAACAATAAATCAAAAATGCCCATATATTTTGTTCAAAATTGCCCCAACAGCATGTAAAATAGTGAACAATACATTTTTCAAACAAATTATCTCAATTATCAAAATCATTTAAATAATGTTTAATAAATTATTCCATCTTAAAATAATATAAAACTTATGACTTACTAAAAATGCAGTCAGAAAAACATAACAACTTTATATTAAAAAGTTTACCAAATGTTATCAGAAACAAATCAGTCATTTATGGTTGCCTAGTTAATGTAGGAAAAGACAATGTTTTTAAAGTTGCTTTTATGTAAATGATCCCTTTACATAGCACCCCTTTAAACTTTAAAATTAAAAATGTTAAAAATCTATTGAAAATACTTTACAGATTTTGCATTCTTTTTCTCCACCATCAGACAACATATAGAAACAGTATTATCTTCTATATTATTTTCGTGAATCATTTTTTTCTTTTCTCCTAAAAAATATTTTAAAAACACCAAAAGTTTAAAAACACAAAAGAACAACATATCTATGTCTGCATCTTAGCAGTTTTAATGAAAAGATGCAAAAATTAAGTTTGACAAAAATGGCAACAAAAATATTTATCAGATTTTTCTTTTATCAATTTTTTTTTTATATACTCAATTATGTTCATACAGTTTGTTGCATTTAAAAAAAAAAAAAGTTTTTACTCTTATTCATCTTCCCATCAAGCCATAAAAAAGGATTTTTAGTCAAGGAAACATTTATTTAATTTTATATAAAAAATTGCCTCTTTTTGCTTAATATATTAGCTTCCTTGACCTATAAAAAAAAAAAAAAAAGAGCTTTGGAAAAAAAAAAAACTACAATATTTAGAGCCAAGTTAAAACACTTCATAAAAACCCCTGTGTTTTAAGTGAGAAAAAATAATGCCCTTTTATAAGGATTTATTTGCTTCTGACAAAAAGTTCTCTCTCTCTTTCTATATATATATGTACACACACACACACACAGATATATATATATATATATATATATATATATATATATATATATATATATATATATATATATATATATATATATATATATATATATATATATATATATATATATACATATAGAGGGACCCACATGTGTGTTTGTAAAAATATAACGTACACACAATATATCCATTCTTACATATGTAATATTTTCTTTTGTAAGTAAAATAAATATAAAAGTAACAATTATAAATATTGATAGATTGTAAGCTAAAAAACAATAATTTATATAAGAATTTATAAAACTTAAATTATTCCATTTTAAAATGTCACAACAAAAGAAACTAATCTGAATCAGATGAGTTTTTTTTTTGAAGTTTTCTTTTTCTTTTCTTTCGAGCGCCTAAAATTATGCACAATATTATTAGCTTAAATTTAAAAAAAACTTAAATAGTAACTCAATTAAAAAAAAATACAAACTTTTTTTTCTTCTTTGATGCTTCATTTTCTTCAAAAGACAAAGATCGTTTTCTTTTCTTCCTAAATTAAGTTTTACAGTAATACACTTACATGTTTATAATATTATTTTTATTTAAAAATTGTTTAATTATGATAAATTATTTAATAATGTAAATTTAATGAGTCGATCAAATATGAAAATGGAAAAGTATTCGAAAGCATCAAATTAAGCTGGAGAAAAAAAAAAATAGACAAATAAATGTTTCTCAAACATGAAAAAAACATTAAAATGATGCAACTATGCTGAAGGTTTCCTGCGTAAGTAGTGCTGCATTTATAGCTACTGCGCCCTTAGGCAAATAAATACTTGTCGTCCTTTAATCTGTAAGTCAAAACTATTTTTCTATTGTTTTTGTTTATCAATTGATTTGATAAAAAGCAAAAATACACTGCAAAGAGAATCTTAAGATTCAATACCTTTTACCTCCACAATTTTATTTTCAGATTTAATAAATCCCTAATTCTTTATCTTTATTATTTTTTTAATTCAATTTTTCAAAATTCAAAGAATTTTAAATTCAATTTCTTAAGTATAAGGCTCTAAGGTATTGTTTAAATATTTTATTAAAATTATTGTATTTTTTTTTAATAAAAATATCCAGTTATTTATTATTGTTTAATCTTATACTTGGAAGAGTAATACATAAGAAAAAATTTGGATGTCTAAAAATAATGTAAGATACGAGTAACGAAACTGCTAATTTGTTTCATTTGTTCTTTGTAAATAAAAGTGTTATTGAATATGAAATTTATAAAAATCACACTGAAATAACTGCAAGTAATAATTTATTTAATAAACTATTTGAAATGACATAAAATTGATGAAAAACAAACAGGCAAAAAGTATAAAAAACGAAATTCAAGGGAACAAAACAATACAGAAACACCGTTATTTAGACTTTTTCATGCAAAGATTCATGTAATTGCTCCTTAAACTTGCTTTTTAGCATATATAATATCTAATAACTAAAATAACTGACTGTTAAAAAACTTGGAGGGAACAGAAACGGTCCAAGATGAGGGAACAGAGTGTCTGAGAAAAAAATATATTTACAGGTTGTTTGGAAACAAAATTTTTGTATACAAAATTGTAAAAATTTGATAAAACCAGTAAAAATCGTTTTTTTTGACTGTGTCATTAAATAATAGGGCTGCACCGGATTCAATTTTTCCAAATCCGGCTGGAGCTGAATTTGACAGATTTCTACTAACAGATCCAGCGGGAATCAGAGCAGGAGCCGGATTTTGAAACAAAACTACATCCCTACTTGGTGCTGAAAATGGACAACAATGTTGACTATTCAGAATACCAAGTGACAGTTGTTTTGTGTTAAACTTCATTTTTGTTGTTAAAAAGTTTTATAGCAATTTCTATAGAAATTAACAGACATTTTATAAAATTCTATAGAGTTTCTATAGACTATATGTTTCTAAAATTTATAGAAATTCTATAGAACTTTTTTTTCTGGGATGTTGTCACTCCGCCACTGTAGTGATTCAGCGTGTCTATATATTTCTGATTCTTTCAGATATTGGCTAAGCTGAGAGTCAATGCCTATTGGTTATTGTTGTTCATGTGCTGTGGCACAAGCGGGCATAGACTGAATAATTTCATCTATATATATTGCCATTGTAATGATGATAATGTATAAGAATTATCCAGCCGGTTTTGTTGGATTTTCTTTAGTTTTATTTATCTACTGCTCAGCATGCTCAGATTGACTTTAATCTTGCTTTTTCAGCTGTCAGTGTTGACTGTAATGAGAAGAGTTTAGTTTGAAATTATGGATCAAACAGTGTCACCACTATATAAAAAGGTTTCTCCTCAATGCCTTTAAAACGCTCATCCAATGACTTGATTAGGATTGACTTCATAGCTTTACACCTGCATTATTGCAGAATACCGTGTGTCTTCCCTTCAGAATTTTTTGTTGCGTTGTTGTTTGAAATTAGGCTTAGCTAATTAAATTGTAAAGAAATGTAAATACAGATGCTAAAACAAACATAAAGTTCATAGACTATAGAATTACTAAAAACATTGATTTGTAAAAATAAAATATTAAGTATACATGTTAAGGGCAAGAAACTCTATGATCTCTAAAGATCTAGTAATAAATATCTGACCAAAATTCAGAAATACGGCCAAAATTATGCCAGATTTGGGCCGGAGCCGAAATTCGGTACAGCCCTATTAAATAAGATCTAAATTGTCATTAAGATGATCAAATAGTATTATATAAACCAGAAAATGATATGACATCTACAAAAGTTTAAGCCATGTGGTACAAAAACAAATTGAGACTATGGAATGAGCAATAGTACAAAAAAAACTCAAATTTTTTTGTCTTAGTAACTTTGCCACCATAAATTTTCTCGTGTTAGCACAATTATCAAAACCTTTGGATATTAACTTGATGTTAAAATCAGAAAAAAAGTCTCTAAAATCAAATAAAACCTTTTGATATTAACTTCTTTGTTTTAATTTTTTGCAATTATAAAAAGATAGTGAAAAAAATGAAAAAAATTACAATTAAAATTGCACAAAAAAGAGAATTGAGTAAACAGGTGCTAAACAAAAGTATATAAAGTCAGAGGATTTAAACCTGATTTTCAAACAAATTAGTAAACTGATTGCATGTTCAAACAATTGAAAACTTTGAAAATTAAATAATCATCAACATAGATCCAAAAATATGGCAACCAAATTTAATTTATAAAAAATTAAATTAGTCACACTATAATCAGATGTAGTAAATTCTGATAGCAATAAAATTCTATAAATGAAAACTTTGAAGACCAAAAATATTTGTAAAGCATTGAAACAACTTGGTGGTAATAATGGTTTATTATGTTTAATATTTTTAGGTATTATAGTCATTTTTTGAAGCATTAGATAACTTAATTCAATCATAATTTATACCAGTCATTAATCTTCTTAACAGAGTCATGAAGAATTAATATTTGTTATCCTTTGCAGAAACACAAGTTTACATCTATGCCTTTTAGATTAAAAGAAGTGCAAAGCTAGTTAATATATTTTTGATTGCTCATGAAGTCATTGCTTAGGCTGGGGCATGCTGGCCCCATAAGGCCTATGCAGGACTTTTCTAGAAAGACCCAATTATGCAGATGTTTGATTGAGTAACTGAACAATAGATAAACAGCTAGTTTTCTATTGTTATTTAAATAAATTTGTTATCTGAATTATTCAGGAACTGGTCATCTAATAAAGTATTTATAATGCCTGGTCGGGAATTATAAATAATTTATTGAAGTTTTGAATTAAAAATTTTTTTTAGCCTCATACCGCTTCAAGACTATAAAACTAGAATTTCTTGAAGCGTTTAACTTAAAATCAAACGACAAATATTATACTAGAGCTATTAAAGGGTATTCATACAAAATATTTTAAAAGCATGAACCAGATTTTTTTTTCTTTGCATAATTTAAAATAATTTTTATGCTTTAAAAACAGGTTTTTTTAATAACTTTTTACAATGTGGTAACTTAAAATTTCTACTTAAACATAAAACTTTTATTAGTTTGACAGCAACTTGTTTTGTTTTTAACTTTAACTATTCACATAGCATAATTTTATTTTAAAACCAATTAAAAACAAAGATTAGTTTTTTGCAACTAATTTGCAAAAATTATTTTTTAAGGCTTATTTGCAAAACTTTTTAGAAAAATAAAGTCTTTTATAAACTCCATTTTGCAATTATTTTGACCACATAAAAAAATTTTTGATGTCAGAATTCAGAATTATTCAGAACTTAATATGCTAATGTATTGTTTCAATTCCATGATTACATAGTAATTAAATAATCTGGTGGTTAGCCACACAAGCAATAAATAAATTACTTTTTTAATACTTAAAAAATCAGTGAGAGGAAATGTTCACATTTTAAAGCAACAATTCATCTTTTACACAATTCTTGAGGAAATTTTTCATAATAAGATCACAAATTCCTTTCTGATTGCCACTTATTATTCAACCGTTGAGGCAATTTTTAAATTTATTACGATTGTTAATAGCAGTTTATGTGATGTAATAATATTTTTTGCAAATATCTACTTTGTTTTGAGAGGGATGTTAGATAATGTCTATTGGATGTCAAACTGTCAATTGGATGTCAAAAACATCAACAGACAGTTGGATTGAAATTGCTTATAAAAGTCACTGTGCCAAACTTTTATGTGATTTGCTTTTCTGTAATATGAGCTACATGCGTTTAACTCTTACTGAAATATAAATATTATTAAAAGTAAATATTTATATATAACAGTTACCTACCTACATAACTATTGTTAAAAAATGAAAAAATATTTAATACAGTAAGTAAACATTTTACTAACATGTAATGTAAATTTAAAAAATATTTATAATGCTAAAAATACATTAATACCTGGACTTTTTTTTTTCTTTTTTTTTCTTCTTTCGAACTATAAAAAAATTAAACAACTTTTAATCAAAAAATCATTAAATTATAATTTTCAATTAATTACTGGAAAATATTTGATAAAAAGAGTATTACAACCTCCAAATTTGCAATAAAAAGAATATTATAACCTCCAAATTTGCAATAAAAATTTTAAAAGCCCATAAAGTATCTGCTGCTTTACTATTTCACAAAAGTTTGGCAATTTAAAGTATGATTTTTAGTAAACTTATAAACAATTAGAAAATTAAAAAAAACCAATAGGGACGTAGTAGGGATTGAACTAGAAACATGAAACAAGTGCTCTACCACTACACCAATACTGCATGACCATGTTCACCATGACCATGTTTAAATGTAATTATATGCAAATTATCATCAATCATTAAAACTGTAAAACTATTGATTAACGAGTTTGAATTAACAACAAATAAATTTAACAAAAATACAAAATTATTATTTGAATTATTTGCAAAGAAAATTGACACAAGTTCATAACATCAAAATAATACAACTTTTGTAAAAATGAGACTAAAAAAAATTTCTAATAAGTAGTCAAGATCACTAATAATTAATAAAAAAAAATGCAAAAAATTTTACTTTCTGCTTCCTTTCGTTTCTTTTCTTCAAGCAGCTTTTCCAACAGATTTAGCTCATCATCAGAATCAGATGTTGTAGATTCAACATCAAGTAATTGAGTATTGTTTTGTAATGTATTATAACATTGAAAAGTCAAATGCCCAGCTTAAAAATATATTAATTACTCTTATAAATATTGAGTATTCAAATAGTATAATGCCCAACTTAAAAACCAATATATTAATACATTTATAAATATTAAGTGTTTAAATAGTATAATTTTAAAATGCTTTAAAAATCAAAATAACTTCTACCATGGCCACACTTTCGGCAACCTATTCGTTGACTTTCGCTAGTGTTTGATAACCTGTTAACAATTCCTAAAATTAATATAGCTTAATAAAATGCTAATATTCTAATAAAAAGAAATTCCACCATATTTAGTATAGTTTTTTATAAGAAAATATATATAATAATTTAGGCTATAACTGCCTTAATATTAAGTAATGACCTTTGAGATTTTCTTCGCTTGTAAGAACACCATTAGAATGATATGCCATATTTTTATTTTTTTTTGCTTGTAAAAACAAACTTTTTAAAGAACTAAATATAGAAAGCAGAAATATATTGAATAAAAAAACAGAAATACTTTTTTCTTACAATTATTACTTAAAACCATTTTAAAAAGCAGTTTTTTCAATGTTCTTTTTTTTTTTCTGTTTGAAAAAAGTTCTTGGATTGAAGTAGAATGAATTAAATTAAAATGAAATGTAAATTTGCAGCAGTATATATATATATATATATATATATATATATATATATATATATATATATATATATATATATATATATATATATATATATATATATATATATATATATATATATATATATATATATTTATTTATTTATCTATTGGTGCAGATTTGGGTCAGCCCTGACTTAATATTTTTTGTGAGCTCTAAGTTTTCAAAAACCAATTTTAATCCAGATAGCTTTTCAGATAATTGAGAAAACTGCCTAGTAATGTTTGGATTAATGTTATATGAATATAAAAACAAAACATGTTTTTTTAAAAGTTTATTTCAATAACCACATTATTAAGCTTTAAATTGCTGCCATTAAGAAAAAATAAAGCAGTTTTTGAAAATGTTGCTACATAAATATAACACTTACTCTAAAAAACGGTTGTGCCCCTAGTGTGAGGCACAACTGCACCCTCACAAAAATTGGGGGTACACTTTTGGTGGTATGTTTTCTTTACAATTGTCACAGTTCAGATTATTTGCTGATTTTGTTGCACGTTTGCATACTGTGTAGGCATTCTTTATTTAAGTTTTTACATAAACACAATCAAGTGTGATGATTGTAATCATTGTCATTTGTAATTATCTAGCTATGATTAATATCAAAAGTAGGTTGTTGTGCCGCCTGTGCATCTATGCGGTTCTGCCCCAGACAGATTTTAGAAAGAATACAGTTTCATGGCTTATTAGGCTAGGTCGATATATAAAATGGTTTTCACTTGATGAAACAACTGGTTTAGATAACCACTTATTGTAAAAAACTGTAAAAGTATATCTGGCAAGGGTGTTAGTCAGCCCAATGACACCGCGTATATTGCGAATACTAATGGGCTTATAATACCCAAAATTCAGTGACCCTTTTTTTCAATTATTTTTAATGTAATAGGACAATATCAATTAAATTTCCCAATATTTTGTAAAACAATAACAATAAATGTTCCCAATATTGTAAAAACACGGTAAAAAATATATTACTGGCTAACACCCTAATATTTTTAGTTTTCAATGATTGATGTTACTTCTATGTACAATGTTTTCTGATATGTATATCAAAACTTCTCCAATTTGTTTATTAATGTCTCTAGAACAAAACTTGGAAAATGGAAGATATATTATTATAATATTTTAGCATACAATTACATGTGCATACCTGCAACTTCAGTTACATCAAAATGTGCTTTCGCGACTACTGGGCAAGTGGTCAATCAACGGCATGCATCTTTGGCACCAAAAACATGCTAGTATTTTTAAACCAACTTATGTAATCTGGACACTTAAAGTAGAATAAAATTTAGATATAAGTGAAAAAGAAAACTTTAAATAAATAGCATCATTGAATCAAAAGTTTTTATTGACTGTTTATAAGAACAACTTTTATAAAAAATTTGGTTTTTTTAACAGGTACCCACCTGTTTGTTTGATGAGTTACCTGGGCATTTTCATGTTTTTTATTCTCTTATTGCTCTCTTATTGATAAATTATTCTATAAATTATTCTATTTTAATTAATAATAAAATATTATTGCTTCCTCAACTCTTGTTGAGGAAGCAATAATATTTTTCATTATTCTTTTTTTTTTTTCTTTCTTCTTTTTCCGAAAAAAAAAGGGTAGAAAATAGTAAGCAAAAAAAGTCGGCTAATGTATATCTAAATACACTAAAAGAGATTTTTTAATTCAAAGTTTGAAAAATATATTAGGGCAGTCAGTGATTAAACTAAGTGCCGAAGATAATTTTAAAACATTAAGAAATTTTATAAAATAAAAAAAATATCATACAAATCCTTTAGTTATTAATAAGATTTTAAAGAAGATTTAAATAAGAATATATGACTATGAATATATATGACTATATAATATAACATATAACTATATAATACAACATATATCACTTTACATATATATATGTATATCAATATATAATATAACATATAATATATTACTATATAATATAACATATATCACTATATAACATAACATAATATATCACTATATAATATAAAAGATAATATATCACAAAATAATATAACATAAAATATATCACCATATAATATAACATATATATCACTATATAACAAAGTTTTCAAAAAAGAAAATGTTAATTGAAAATCAAATGGTAATTTTTATATCAACTTCAAAAACAATTTAAATTAATTACTAAAATTTAATAAGTTTCACTGAACTTCTTTATTAAATATTCTTTAGGATTGATACATGCAAAATCTTTTTTAATTTAATAAGTTTCACTGAACTTCTTTATTAAATATTCTTTAGGATTGATACTTGTAAAATCTTTTGATCCATCTAAAGGAAAAACTCTTATATCATCATCAGGATGAACAAAAAATGCAAGTGATTGCCTTGCTTTTTCGTGGCAATTAGGTATTACAACTCTATGTCGTGTTGACTTTAATTTTCCAGAAGACCATATTTCAATCATATCTGCAGAATTAACAACAACACTTCCTGGAATAGGTGTTACATCAATGTAATTTCCAGATGGAGAGACAACCTAGTAAAAATTATAACTGTTAAATTTATCAAACAGATACCATAAAATTGAAACAAAAATCAAATTTTAAAACCTGCAATCCACCTGCATTATCTTGAAATAAAAGTGTAATTGTTCCATAATCAGAATGCTCGCCACAGCGCAATTGATTACTTGCAATGCAACTATGGTCAGGTAAAGATGGGTAATATAACAACCGTAAAGTAGTTGGATTTCGGGTGGCATCACTAAGGTGATGTTTTGAGACAAAAAAATCAACATCATCTGGAATAAGAAATAAAGCAAAAAGTTTTAATAATAAATAAGTAAACTGCTCACAAGA